GTGGCAGCCTTCTCCGACTGCCCCCAGAACTGTGAGTGCAGACAGAGAGGCTAGCCCCTGAAGGAGGATCTCACTCTGCCAGAGCCCACATTCAGAACCTGCACATGCACAGTGATGTCTGGGGCAGGTGACAGTGTAGGGTAGGGCTCCATGGACAGCCACCTCGAGGTGCGGCCTGCACCTAGGGCTGGGTCTCTGACCTCCTCATGGGGTGCAGGGCTGCCTCTCTGGCCCATCTGGCACACTGAGATGAAATTTTCCCTATGCCTTAATAGGGCTGCTTTTCAGGGAGATTCTGTAAAAGCAACTTAGGGTGCCTTCTGAGAAGGGACACCCAGACACTCACCCTTTCGAGCATCTGTTCTCCTATGAGCCAGTGGGGCTTGCGTTCACAGCAGAAGGAAGGAGCTGAGGTCAGAGGGGCCCCTTCAAGCCCACTCTGGATTCCTGGGCCCTACAGAGCATGTGGGGGTCACCACCCTGCCCAGGAGCAGCTAGGTATGGCTTGGGACAGGGTCCTCTCTCTGGCCCTGCCATGAACAAGCAGGACTGCAGGGGGCGGGGTGCCATGGTCCCTACTCATGGCGGGATGTTCTCAAAGAACCGGCTTTTGGTTTAGCGATCTTCTCTACTGGTTTTCTTTTTCTATTTTATTGATTTTTTTGCTCTTATTTTTGTTATGTCCTTTATTTTTCTTACTTTGGCTTTGATTTGGTTTTTTTTGTTCCAGTTTCTGAGGGTGGAAGTTTACGTTGATGTTTGGAGAACTTTCTTCTTTTCTAACAAGAGCATTAGGGTAAAACTTTCCTCTAGGGCCCCTGTGTCCACTAACTTTGATGGATGGTATTTTCATTCAGTTGGAAATATTTTCTGATTTCCTTTTTTGTTTTCTCCTTTGGCCCATAGGTTATGTAGAAATGTATTTTTAGTTGGCTTCTAAGTATGTGGGGATCTTAAAGATACATTTCTGCTACTGATTTCTAATTTAATTCCATTGTAGTCCAAACAAATAATCTGGATGATTCCAATTCTTGTGAATTTGTTGAGATTTGTTTTGTTTCATAGCCTAGAATATGATAAATCTTGGTGAATGCTCTCGGTTAATAAAGGTGGGCTTTCCTTCTGAGGGGTGGTGTCCTATATTATCAGTAGGTCACACTGGTTGGTAGTGTTGTTGAAGTCTTCATCTGCACAGATTTTTTGTCTACTTCCATCACTTATTGAGAGAAAAGTGTTGAAATCTCCAACTGTTATCAGGGATTTTCTTTTTCTCCTCTTTGCTCTATAAGCCATTGTTTGTTGCTTTGTGTATTTTAAGGCTTAATTGTTAGGTGCATGAGCATTTGGGATTGCTGTGTCCTTGTCATGAACAGACCCATTTATCATTTGGTAATAGCCCTCTTTCTGTTCTTCACTCTAAACCTACTTTGATATAAATGTTGTCATTCCTGCTTTCTTTTCACTGATGTCAGCACGGCATATCTTTTTCCATCCTTTTACTTTAAACCTATTTGTGTTTTTATATATCCCGTAAGTTTCTTGGCTCTTTCTCTTTTTATCCCATATGAACAACCTCTATTTATTGAGGTGTTTAGACCACATAGTGTCATTATTGGTGTGTTAACTCTATTACTTTGCTATTTGTTTTCTATTTGTCCCATCTGTTATTTTTTTCCTTTTTCTTTCTTCTGCCTTCCTGTAACTGGCTAATTTTTTATAATTCTATGTTATCTCCTTTGTTGATTTATTAGCTAGAGCTTATAGATTTTTCCTGCCTTTCTTTTTTTAGTGGTATTTAGTGTTTTTGTATACATCTTTAACTTATTAGTCTGCCTTCAAGAAATATTATCCCATTTCACAAATAGTATAATATATTTGCAGCAGTGTGTTTCCACTCTCCCCCTCCTGGTCTGTTTGTGTTACTGTGATCATACAGTTACTTTACACTTGCTAGAAATTCCATAATACATTGTTATTACTTTGGGTTCAAGCAATTATCTTATAAAGTGATTCAAATTTTTTTTTAAATTACCTTATAAATCCCATTTCTGGTGCACTTCATTTCTTGGCATGGGTTCTTATTTCCATGTAGTGTCACTTCCCTTCTGCCTGAAGGACTTCCTTTAACATCTCTTCTATTGCCAGTCTGCTGGTGGTGCACTTTTTTTGCCTTTGTATATCTGAAAAGTTCTTTATTTCGCCTTTATTTTTGCTGGGTATATAATTCCAAATTGACAGGTGTGGTTTTGTTTATTTTTCTGTTACAGGGTTTTTGTATTTTAAACACAATGTCATTGTGTCAGCTTGCATTTTTTCTGACAAGAACTCTGCTGCCATCCTTTGATGCTCTGTATATATGTCTGTTTTAACATTTTTCTGTCACTGGTTGTAAGCAATTTAATTATGATGTGTTTTGGTGTGGTATTTTTCATACTTCTAATGCTTAGGGGTTCATTGAGTTTCTGGGTTCCATGGGTTTACAGTTTGCATCAAGTCTGAAAACATTTTGGCCACTATTTCCCTGTATATTTTTTCCTTTCATCCTCTCGTTCCCTTCTGGGACTTCAGTGACTCATAGTGGGCCACTTGAAGTAGTCCCGTAGCTCCATGATGCTCTATTAATTTTTTCAGTCTTTTTTCTTCTGTGATTCCTTTCAGTAATTTCTAATGCTGTGTCCTCAGGTTCACTAGTCTCCTCCAGTGTAATCTGTTGTTAATCCCACCCAGCACAGTTTTCATCTCAAATCTACTTTTCATCTTTAGAAGTTTGGTTTGTATCTTTAAAAAAAAAAAAAACTTCTACATGTTCATGCTCTCTTCTACTTTCTCCAACATATGAAATATACTTACAATATCTGTTTTAATATCTTTGCCTACTAATACTTTATCTGTGTCATTTCTGGGTCTTTTTCTAATGATCAGTTTTTCTCCTCATTGAGGGTCACATTTTCCTGCTTCTTTGCATGTGTGGTGATGTGTAATAAATGGTAGGCATTCAATTGAATGAATTGTGTACTGTTGGGTGCTGGATATACATACATATATGTATATATATATATATAGAGAGAGAGAGAGAGAGAATATATATACAATATAATATATATATAGTATAGTATTAGAGAGAGAGAGAGTATATGTTTAAGTAATTTTGAGTTTTGTTCCGGGATGTAATTAAGTGACTTGGAGACAATCAGAGCCTTTCAAGGCTGGCTTTTAAGCTCCATTAGTTGGAACCAGTATGCTCTTTAACCTAAGGCTGGCTTGGCTCCACTGTCCGGGCAGTTCCCTTCTGAGCACTCAGCTGGATGGCCCATGGAATATGATGTCTGTCCTCCCAGTTCACACGGATGAACTCTTCCCAGCCAGTGTGAGCTCTGGGAACTGTTTTTGCTGCTCCTTGCAGCTTTGGGGGTTATTTGCACATTTGGTTCTTTGCAGTTTGGGTGTAGGTTCCTCTAGTGCATGCACTCACTGATGGGTACTCAGCTGAATCTTTCTCTTTTCTCTAGACAGCTCTCTCCAGACTCTTGCCCTGTGAATTCTAGCTGCCATAGTCTCCTGGAATTCTCTGCTTTGTACGTCCAGTTGGGAGACTATGGACTCTGGTGGTCTTTGGAGCGGGGCTTTCGGAGAAGGGGCAGGGAGCACCAGGGCCGAAGGCCCCGCCTGACTCAGGCCTTCTGCATCCTGGGGGTAGCGCTCTGGAATTGGGTCACGGAGGATTTGTTGTTCCCCCTTCCCCCAGGAAGGGAGAAGTCTAATTAGCGGCCTCAGAGTGGGGCCGGTCCAGATCCCTGCACTCCAAACCCCTTCCCAGAGGGTAGGCATCCCGCCCTCCCGTAGTACATTCTGTAACATGCTTCCTTTGTTCCTACTGCCCCGTGCTGCCTGTCAATTAATTTCTGAAAAAATGTTACTTGTATATTTTGCCCCAATTTTTAGCTGTTTAAGGCAGGACGGTAAATCCAGTTCCCGTTAATCCATCGTGGTGTGATGTTGGAGCCCATGACAAACTCTGGTTTTGACCTAGGCGTTAATTGTACGTCCCCTTCCCTCAAATAGAGTGTGAGGTCCATGCGGGCAGGAATATTTGGGAACGTTTGTCCGCTGTATTCCCCGCTGTACCTCCACCCCGACACAGAGGGACGCGCGCCACCACTTGGCAACAGAGTAAGCAACTGTCCGGGTTTGTCTGTGATAGAGGGATTCCCGGAACCGGAACCGGAGCCCACTCACCTAGTAGGCGCTGGGGTCTGGGCCTCGGGCCCACAAAAATGTTTATGATCTCTTTAAAAGAAAATGTTACCTTTTAGGTAAAAGAAAATGTTTTGGTTTTTTTTCACATTGGAAAAAAATGAACATTTTAGGACCCACAAAATCTATTAAATTTTGCATAAAACAGAACAAAAACTGAGATATTTAAAGTTATAGTAAAGTAATTATTTCATATTGTTATTATGATGGTGGGAGGGGTCCACGAAACAGCGGAGGCTGTCAGGGCTTGCTTTGTCAGGTGAGGACCCCAGGTTAGCTTTGGGAGCCGCCCGCGCCCCGGGGCCGCTCCGCCTGTGTGAGCTACGCTGGAGGAACAAGGGGGTGGCTGTGGGGCTGGGGGCGACTAAACCGCGGGCGTGGCTGCATGGGGAAGTGCGGCCGCGGGGGAGGATTCCGGCTTGAGCGCATTTTGCTACAGGACGCGGTGGAGATTGTCCGTGACGTGTCCGGGCGGAGCACGTGCGTCTGAGGGTCTCCAGGGTGTCACTGCGGGGTTGCCTGCGTCTGGGGTCCTGATGCCTGGGCCGCTGTGGGGGTGCCCCTAGTTCTAGGCCGGCCAGCAGGGCGGGGCCTGCGGGGAGCTCGCGCGGGGGCGGGGCCTGCAGGGTGCTCTCCCTGGGTGGGCAGTCTCGGGGCGGGGCCTGAGGGGAGATCTCGCCCCGTGGGCATCCCTAGGGGCGGGGCGGGGGCGGGGCCTGCAGGGAGAGGTCGCGCGGGGGCGGGGCGGAGCCTCCCGGTAGAACCTGCCCCCGGCTCGCGGAGAAGGCAATGCGGAGCGGGCGCTGCTTGCAGCGCTAACTGATGCACAGGCAGATAGAGGGAGAGCCCGGCGCGCGGCCACGGGTGAGTCCCAGGCACTGGAGCTTCAGTGTGGTAGGTGGTGAAGGTCACTGGCGAGGTCACCGCTATCCCCAGTTCGAGCCGAGAGCCCTCCCTCCAGCGAGGTCCGCAGTCTTTGGGGCGGGGCTCTCGGAGAGGGGGTGGGAAGCGCTGCAGCCGCAGGCCTTCTACTTCTGGGGGGTGGCGCTCGGGAACTGGGTCATGGAGGATTTGTTGTTCCCAGGAAGGGGTAAGTCTAATAAAGCTCCCCAGGATGGGGCCGGTCCAGATCCTCTGCACTCCAAACGCCTTCCCAGAGGTTGGGCATCTCCATCCCAAACACCAGACTCAGACTGGGAAGTTCTTCCTGTCTGCCCAAGTGCCTCC